CTTCTGAACTTCTTCCAGTTCGAAGCCAAATTTCCTCTTACAATTAATGCAGCTGGCAATGGAATCATATGAATGCCTCTGGCAATTGCTGCTTGCCCTGGTTCTTCGGACGGATTTGTATGTTCTTCAGCCATACTATTCACTCATGAATTTCAAACAACGTGAGTTTCGCTTATAACTCCGACATAACTCCTGACACCATGTAACGTCTGCTTTAGACTCTAGTTCTATCAATGTATTATCAACTAACCTACAATTACATAGTTGCTCATATATATACATAGCAACCGGAAATGGATATACATTTTGTATACATATCATTACACATATTACAGAGTTCAGTGTACAATTACACAACTAACTTATATAATATATATAAAATATAAAATTCGTGAAATAATTAATATATTTTTAATTATTATTATGTATATTATTATATAATTATAATTAATTATAATATTTTAATTATAATATTATTATAATAATAATATTCATAATAATTATAAGTATTATTATCATTATTAAAATTAAATAAAGTTTTCGTTATAATAATAATTAATAATTATTCGCCTTAGGCTCGGTGATTATCGGGGAATATTCGCCGAGACGAAGTCGAGGTGAATATTCCCCGATAATCACCGAGCCTGAGGCGAATAATTTTTTTAGTATTTTTGCACAAGTCTTTTGGGGGTTTTCTGGTCTGAATTCATTTTAATTTCGCTTATTTCTTTATCACTAACTTCAACAAAACGGCGAGCCGCCATTTTGTAAATTTCGATTTTGTTATATTCACCTGTAGGTGAAGTATAACAGATTTTAATCTGTTATACTTCACCTACAGGTGAATATAACAAAATCGAAATTTACAAAATGGCGGCTCGCCGTTTTGTTGAAGTTAGTTATAAAGAAATAAGCGTATTAAAATACGCAAAATTTGACCAATCACCTTGTAGGATTTGTTATGTTCACTTGTGCAAAAATACTAATTATTATTAATCCAACATCCTGTGGGCCGCCAAGAATCCTGACTATCCCGCATGCAATTACACAGTACAGACCTTCATCACGGGTTTAAAACTGTAGGGAGCCTCTTTAGAATGCGTTTTTGACTCGTATTCACAGATTTTTGATTCGTGTTCGTCATTTTTGACTCGTGTTCACTCGTGTTCGTCAGTTTTTGGCGTCGTGAAATAATTAATATATTATTATATAATTATAATTAATTATAATATTTTAATTATAATATAATTATAATAATGATATTCATAATAATTATAAGTATTATTATTATTATTAAAATTAAATAAAGTTTTCGTTATAATAATAACAAGACGCCTGCTCAGGCGTTCACACTGGCCTGAAAATGGCAACTTTCGTGGTACTGGGTGTAATGTGTAGTAGAGAAGTAGATAGGGATACAGGATCATTGGGATACTGGATCATATAAATACAACCGATAAATATCAACCATAATATACCAAGACGCCGGCTCAGGCCTACCCTCCGGCTACGGGAAACTCAACCTGACAAGCCAGGCCCACTGTAGCTATGATCATCAACTATCAACCGTAAATAATGACGGGCCAATAATAGCGAAGAGATTATATAGTCCTTGATTTTTAATGCCGTTATATGGCCATCTAGTTTCAGGTCCTAAAATGTTCATAGCATAGATATCTTATATACACTAGATAGTGCATCTAATTATTCTGTAATTCAAAAATTGAAGCTATGATTGCAGTCTCAGGTCGTTCCCATGAAATGAGAAGATTCGAATGTTTTCTATTTCTTAAACAGGGAACTTAAACATTAAGTTAACCCTATTCCAAATACATTTTTCAACTATTCAAATGATGAAAGTTATTGTTGTTTTTAAGCTTTAAGCGTTTATTGGCAAGTGGGAACGATCAACATGGCCGCCATCTTTTCAAATGGGGGTAACCGCTGGAATGTTCTTGGCTTCAATTTTACTAAAAGAGATGCACTATCTAGTGTAGATAAGATATCTATGGTTCATAGACTTAGACGATTCTTCTAAAAAATACGCCAATTTGCTTCCTTTTATAAGATAAACTGATCCCAACCCAAAGCCCTTCCCTAATCCCAACCCCTACCCCAACCAGCAAACTTCTAATAAACAATTTGAGAATTAAAAAAGTGGGGGCAAAGTTGGATCTTGTTCCAAACACAAATCGAACCGTATTACGTTTCACTTCGGCGCACGCAACACCACCTCGCTGAATACAATCGAAAACATAGCTACATTTTATAGTAATATATGATGAATTAGAAAGTAATTTGGCGCAAATTAATGTAATTAGGTGCAAATTTATAATTATGCAAATAAATACAAGAGCACAACGTATGTTTATGACCCTACAACGTATAGTTATACTTGTTAATTAAAAAGTCAAACTGTCAAACCTTTGACTTGTCCTTGTTTATATTCCACTATATTGTATAAATTCGCTGGGTCCAAATTTTGGCGTTTTCGAGTCGTTACACAAAGAAAAACTCACTAATTCAACACGCAAGAAAGGCCAGAGTGCGACACAACGTAAAATCCATAGCAAACCGGCACAATTCTTTGAAAAATCAACGAAACTGTGTGAAATATATATTAGATCGCTCAGTGAAAAGCCGCCATTTTGAAACTGAACTGAATATGTCACTGGAGCATGTTGCACCCTGAGCCTGCGATGAGCCATAGATGAGCTAACGCCAACTCCATGAGCTAACGCAAACTCGACGAAAAAAAAAACAGAAAAAGAGGGATTTAAGACACTTGGCCTACAGGCCAGTGTAATTACACTAACCCGAAAGGTCAAGTGTCTTAAATCCCTAGTTTTCTGTTTTCGTCGTCGAGAAATGAAGTTTGCGTTAGTGCATCGCAGGCTCAAGGTGCAACGATTAAACCAAAATGCCATCGATTCAAATGTCATCGATTCCTCGACTGCTTGATTTACTTTTCATCATAACAAGCTCGTATATCAATGTACGTAGTAGCCGGCTCATGGCATGCTTGTGGCACATCTTTCTTTATTAGCGCATACACTTGTACGCACGCGCACAATTACCAGTTCCAGACCTCCTGAGTCCCTATCTCCCTATCCTATCTATTAACATAGAAAATAGTGGAATACAATTAACAAGGACAAGTTAAAGGTTTGACAGTTTGACTTTAAAGTGCATATGATATGAAATTTCTTATTTTCTTAAATGAAAGAACTCTCAAATCAAGAGATCAAAATTAATGGTTATGATATTGTGAGAAAAGACAGGAATAGGCATGGTGGTGGAGTCGCAATATACATAGGAACCTCAATAAACTTCATAATAAGAGACGATTTAACTGACGATAATCTCGAAACAATTACACTTGAAATTTCAAAACCAAAATCCAAACCATTCTTAATTAATGGTTGGTATAAACCACCCAATACAACACTTGAAATATTCAATGCATTCGAGGATTTAATTACTCGAATGGACTCTGAAAACAAGGAAATCATTTTACTTGGAGATTACAACTGCGATTGGTCTCGCTTGGATAGTAACAGCGCTAACGCTCAGACAAACAAGCTTGCTGGAATTGCACAGACATTCCAATTTCAACAATTAATTAGTGATCCAACGCGAATTACAGCTATAATAGTAAAACCTTAATAGATCTAGCATTCACCAATAAACCGGAATTGATGAATGGCTCGGGTGTCATTCATCTGGGGATAAGTGATCACAGCTTAAATAATCTATATACAGAGAAAAATTTCCGTTCCCCGTAAAGAGCCAAAAGTGATTAAATCAAGAAATTTCAAACACTACAACTCAAACAACTTTAAATCAGACCTTTCCACATACTTATATGATCAAGTATTCTGTGATACAATGCTTGATCCAAATATTTTGTGGGAAAATTGGAAAACAATATTTCTGTCGGTTGCAGATTTTCATGCACCAGAAAGAACAAAAAAAGTTAGAAGCGAGTACGCGCCATGGATTACAGAAAATATTAAACAAACTATGCGTCGAAGAGGCTTTTTAAAGAAAAAAGCAGTTAAGACAGGATCAAAACATTTCCATGATGCTTATAAACGCACACGAAATGATTTGAATAGATTAATTAAGAATGCAAAAGCAATTTAGTTTACAAATACTTTAAATGACTGTGATAACAACTCAAAGAAAATGTGGAAAACAATTAATAAACTTACAAACAAACAGTCAAAAACAACTGTTATATCTGAAATCCGGAACGATAATCAAAATTTGACTAAAAAACATGAAATTGCAGATGCTTTAAATTCACATTTCAACGAAGTTGCATCTCGTTTGGTTAATAACATGCCACAGAGCTCAAGGACATTTGAGTCATACGTGACTAGGTCCGATACACAATTTACGATACAAAATGTTTCATTAACTAAGGTATATAAGTTGCTCTCTACAATTAGAACATCCAAATCAGTAGGGCATGATAGAATACCCGGTAAACTTCTAAGAGACGCTGCTGAAGTAATAGCACCATCCCTGTCAGCAATCTTTAACGCATCTATAAACTCTGGTATATTTCCTGAAGACTTCAAGATTGCTATCATTTCTCCAATTGATAAGGCTGGAAGCAAAACTAATTGCGATAATTATAGACCAATCTCGGTTCTATCCTCAGTTGCTAAAATATATGAGAAATTAGTTACAGAGCAACTAGAAATTTATCTTGAAACTAATCACATTCTTGCAGAACAACAAGCAGGATTTAGGGAAAATCACTCTACACAAACTTCTCTACTTAACATCACGAACTAACGGCTAATGAATATGGATAAGGGTTTGTTAAATGGAGTGATTTTTTTGGATCTCAAGAAATTAAAGCGTTTGACTGTGTTGATCATAATATATTGTTAAAAAAAATGCATTGTTATGGAATAAGAGGTCATACGCTTGCTTGGTTCCAGTCCTATCTTTCTAGCAGAATTCAAATATGTAAGGTAGATCAAACAATGTCCAAGACAAGAACAGTTAAATGTGGAATACCCCAAGGTCCTAATCTTGGGCCACTTCTTTTCTTATTATATATAAACGACCTGCCAAACTGCCTGACCTCATCTTCAGCAAGCATGTTTGCCGATGACACAAATGTTTCAACCAATGGCAAAACAAATGACGAACTACAAGAACGCATTGACGTGGACTTAGAAAATATACACCAATGGTTACTTGCAAACAAACTTACACTTAACAAAGATAAAACTGAATACATGATTATTGGTTCAAGACAACGAATTTCAAACTTAGTACTAACGGACCCTAAAATTGAACTTGGTGAATCATCATTAAACGGGTTCACAAATCAAAAACTTTAGGCGTAATTATTGATGAACATCTTTTATGGAATCATCAAATCCAAAATATTGTCACAAAAGCTTCAAAAGGAATAGGGATGATGCGACGAATAAAACAGTTTGTTCCTAAATCAACCTTAGTAAAAATATATAATTCCACTGTGCTATCACATTTTGACTATTGTAGCTTGGTTTGGGATAACTGTTGTGATTACTTAAAAAACAGACTTCAGAAATTACAAAACAGAGCGGCAACCTTTAAACCAACGCTATAAAACCAATAAATCGATTTTTATGCACAGAATACGAAACGAAAAAATGCCATCATCAATTTGCAACGTGTTCAAAATTAAAATAAATGACAGATATGATTTAAGAAGTAACAATAACAACTATGATCTTGGAAAACCTGAAACAAATTTTATGAAAAAGAGCTTCAGTTAATCAGCTGCATCCCTTTGGAATGACTTATCAACTACAGCAAAAGAAAAAGGCATTAGCCTTAACAAATTTAAACGTATTCTTGACGGCACTTGATTCCTTTTGGTAACTTTGTAAATATTTAAATAGGATAGGATATTTTTAGATACAAATGTAGTGCATGCAATTATTAAGTTCGTGATGTTTTCTCTGTTTTTGTGTGTATATTTGTGTTATTATATTTATATAGCTTGTAAATACTGTAATAAACGGCCTCTTGAAAAACAGGTGCCTACGAGCCCTGAAGAGCTACCGTTTTAAAATATTTTCAAATAATAATAATAATAATAATAATAAAAGCATCAAAATATTGGGAAGGGCGACTGCTTTCGAGGGGCACTTTTGGAATGAAAATGGCACGTGAAAACTTTTCCACGGAAATGTTAGCCAGGGGGGTATGAGGAAAAATAATTGCAATCATAAAAAATGCAATCTGAACAACATCTTTTTCACGAAGGTAAAGGGTACTTCGCCACCAGAGAGAGGGCACTTTTTGTGTTTCCTGAAAACTTGGAAGCTTTGCCATCCCCCGTTCCTACGCCCCGGCCTGTCTGTAAGTTCACAAACTGTTGAAAGGCGACTACAGGAATAGATTGAGTTTACGATCAACGTATAACACAATGAGCGTTAAATTTTCGCAATGTTAAATTTTAGTCTTCCATGCATTCCAATAAAAATTCTGTCCGCACGATAACCAGTTCAGGTACCTGAAAAGTGTCCCGTTATATACATGTCTTTAACTTCGCGAAGGATCGAGAAGCTCTGCAGGTCATTTGACTCATTTTCATCACACCCCGTCAGAACAAAATTTGAAACAGAACAGAATTTGAAACAGAACAGAATTTGAAACAGAACAGAATTTGAAACAGAACAGAATTTGCATGAAACAGCAGAACAGAATTTAAAACAGCAGCACAGAATTTGAAACAGCAGAACAGAATTTGAATGTTGAATTCTGTTTTGTTGTTTTAAATTTTGTTTTGTTGTTTTAAATTTTGTCGGGCTGTTCTAAATTCTGTAATGTTTAGTTAAATTGTGTTATGCTGGGGGGGGGGCTGAATAGGAGTATACAAATCCGCCGATCCGTCCAAAATTGAAGCAAAATCCGCCGATCCGATAATGGTCTTGTCTAAATTTGGATCCGCTAAAAGCTCTACTGTGAAGTCACAATTCCACAATCTGAGCCAAAATATTAGATAAATCCGCAATCCTCTGTATTAATAAGATCCACAAATCCGTGTAAAATATTCGCCAGATCCCAAATCCGAACAATTTTTTCGTGGGAATCCGACGATCCTCAAACCTATTCATCCCCGTCCCCCTATCGTAAATTTTATTATGCATGTTAAATTCGGTTGTTGTACAATAGCCATGTTGAAGAACAGAATTTAAGTGGACTGGAATAGAATTTAGAAAAGTATTTTGGCGGTAATGACCCCTCATACAGAAAGTGCACAAAATTTTACTGAAACTACAGTTGAAACCTCTATTATGCTCAGGGAAAATGTAATACATATATTTATATCGAACATCTTGAAGAACTGCTATGTTTCTATAACGCCAATTGAACAATCTGCTTCTCAACAAATAGGAACTGCAACTGGTAAACAATATAACCCGCAATCTAATAGTAATAAAATTATCAAATTATTAAAAAAAGACAGCAAGAGAAAAAGGCATACAATAAGAAATACTCTCGAATTTTGAGAATAAACTCGAATTTTGAGAATATTAAGGAATCTTGGCAAAAAGCCACTGCAACATACGTTAACAGACAACGAAATCTGAAAAAGTAAAAGAGAGTTTTAAGACAGCCACTGCAACAAACAGATAATCAAATCCTGAAAGAGTAAAAGATACTTTTAAGACAGCTAGCCACTGCAACATGCAGACAATCGAGTCCTGAAAAGGTCAAAGAATCGAATAAAACAGCCACTGCAACATACAGAAAATTAAAATCTTAAAAAGGTTGCGGAATTGTCAAAACTGTCAAATATTATGTACAAGTAGAACTATTCGGAAACAGTTAAAGATACTCAAAAAAGGCAATATATTAAACGAAAGTTAGATTGTAGTGAAACTGGAATTAAGATAATTAGATACAAGAAAGTAGAAGATAATTCTAATGACAATTCTCGTGAAGCTCTGCAGATACCTGGTAACTCTGATGATTCGAGAAAACAAATCGACGTAACAAAGGCAACTGAGTTATTTCACAAGATCATTTAGTGTTGGACAAAGGAAGACAAAGGTCAAATAACGTTATTCAAATGAAATTATTTTGTTTAAATGCCTTCCATGCATGACGAAAGCCACTTTAACCGCACCAATTGAAAGTTTAGCGCAACCTCGTCCCCAGGGTCTTCCTGGGGACGAGGTTTAGCTTAGAGTATTTCTTTGTTTCCGAAGCCCTAGAGTGGAACTAATGACTTCGACACAAAAGAAAATGTTACGATACAGTTGAAGTGGAAAACGGCCTTTAGAACTATGATTCTGACACCTGTAAAGTACTTTGAATATAATATAATATGGACCTAATACTCAGGGGTGGAAAAAGTATCGGAACCTGGGAACCTAGTTCCCAGAAATTTTTTTGAGTTGAGAGTTTTGCAGAAAATTTTCCAGAAAATATTTCAACATTTTGAGAAAACTTTGTTTACTGATCAACTTACAAGTTACAACTATGCTACTTTATTTACACTGTACACGCTAACATCAGCAGCTTTTAAATATTTGACAAAAATTAATTCTTTTACCCACCCCTGCCATCACAATGAGGTAAAATGGTAAATTATGCTCTGCAAAGTCTCCAATAAAATGCAAATTAAATAGTAAACAAATATAAGTGATGGAAGAAATAAGATGATAGGACACTTAGTTAAGCGTTAGATCCTTAGAGACTAGACAATTTAAGACTCCGTTAGAGACTAGACAATTTAAATACTTCAACGCTTTGCGGTTTCAGAGTGATTTAAGTGAAGCATTCGGCTCTTTCTCGACTTTTAATGACCCAAACAAGGCGTGGGAAATTTGGAAAGAAATATTTTTAGAAATCGCAAATAAACATGCTCCACTTAGGCAAAGAAGGGTTAAAAGTGAATATTGCCGATGGATGACTAATGAGATTAAGAAACAGAGTTATCACAGGGGTTATACTTAAAAAAGAAAGCGGTTAGTTTGAATTTACCCTACTATTTCCAGGCCTATAAACAATGCAAAAATCAACTAAACAAATGCATCAAGGAAACAAAGAGACTTTATTATAACTTTAAACTATAGCCAACAGTACAAACAGTAAAGAGAGTTGGCAAACAATTAATGAATTATTAAATCGGAAATCTAAAACAACAGCGATCAACGAGATTAATATGAACGGCGAAATAATAGCAGGCGATGAAGAAATTGCAAAGGAATTCAATAAATATTTCTCTGAAGTAGGCAAAAAATTAGCAGAAGAAATTCCTGATAACGATATTGACCCTTTACATTATGTGAATCCAGTGCCAAATTCATTTACTTTCAAAACAATATCAGAAGAGGATTTAAACCGCATTATTTCCAGTATGAAAATCTGCAAGTCCGCAGGAATTGACAAAATCTCGTTCAAACTCATACAAGCAGCAGGGGAAACTATTTTGAAGTCCATGGAAAATATATTCAATTTGTCTTTATATACTGGAATAATCCCAAATGATTGTAAAATTGCTTGTGTCTATAAATCCGAAAGTAAGACAGATGCGGTAATTATAGATCAGTAATGATGCGGTAGTCAAGTCTTCGAAAAAGTTATCTATAGCCAATTAATTACCTTTCTGAATTAAAATAAAGTTATCGCCGACAATCAATCCGGTTTTCGTCCAAATCATTCAACAGAGACTAATCCGTTACATTCAATAATGAATTATTTGGACAACATGGATAAAGGACTGATTAACGGAGTAGTTTTTATAGATCTTAAAAAGGCATTCGATAGGCGATGCTCTACTCCTGGCAAAACTTGATTGAACGATGTGGAGTAAGAGAAACACCTCTCAAATGGTTTAAATCTTACCTACATCAGAGAAATGACAAGTTTGCAAAATAAACAATACCGTGTCAGTACTGTCAGATACAGTTGAAATTCATTGAGGCGTCCCACAGGGGTCAAACCTAGATCCTTTACTATTCAACGTATATATTAATGACCTTCCAAACTGTCCACAGACAACCAAGGCTTCCATGTTTGCGGATGACACCAACCTTTCCTGTAAGGGGGGTGTAGATAAAAGGCGGGCGCGGACTGGCGGATGCGGACCGGCGGACGCGGACTGGTGGAAATTTTTTTAAAAATTATTGAAAATAATTTTAAAAATAAATAAATATAATAATATTAATAATATTATTCATGTCATAGCTAATATTAATAATATTAATATTAATAAAACTTTTTTCTTCACATCATGCGACAACCGAATTCAATAATTGTTAAATAA